TGTGTAGTTCTGACGTCAACTTTTTACGGAAGTCACAACGGTTCGTGAAAAATCACAGCTACTTTATGCAGGCTGTGAGCATTTTACTGTGGACTGACTGTTTTGAAACTTATATGATAGTTAAATAGGCCCTAGAAAAAAAATCTCTTCTACGATATAGATCCATTTCAGCAACTCTTAACACACTGGCAAACATTAACTGCAATCTTGGCACAATACATAAGCTCACAACTTGGACCAGCACAATATGAGAACTTTCCCTATCTTTCACTAAAACAGATTTCCTTCTAAACCCGCTTGTTTGTGTCTGTGCCGTTGCTCCCTCAGGTTTGGGTCAGTCTAAGGCGGCTCCGGCCCCGGCTCCAGTGGGTCAGCTGGCTCCAGGTGTGTTCCTCAGACAGGTGTGTGAGGCTCTGCAGACTGGCCCCGTGGTGATCATCAGCCCGTCTCTCAGCGGCATGTACTCGCTGCCGTTCCTCTTCCAGCACTCCGAGCAGGTCAAGGCCTACATCCCTGTAGCTCCCATCTGCACAGAGAAGTTCACAGCAGAGCAGTACAGCAGCGTGCAGGTGAGACAGGAATGAGTCCGTCAGAGAACAAACAGAAACACACACCCATCTATTATAAAATGTGCTAAAAATGAGTGATGCTCATCCTTATGTACCTGTATAGACTCCAGCTCTTATAGTTTATGGAGACCAGGACACTCAGCTCGGGGAAGCGTCGCTAAGCAATCTGAAGAATCTGCCCAATCACAAAGTGGTGGTAATGAAGGGGGCGGGGCATCCTTGTTATCTTGATGATCCAGAGACCTGGCATAAGGCAGTCCTGGACTTCCTACAGCTGTTGTGATTGTGTTAAAAACCCTAATAGTGTAAAAGTGTACTAATCTAAACATTAATGACATAAGTGATCAATATGAAGTACGTTTAATTTCATACTTATCTGATCATGTCAAAAACAGTAGCTTTTTTCTATGCAACTCTGCATTAATTGGCTTTTTGTGCTATTGTTTGCAATGCTTTTCATTTTCAAGACCCAAAGTTTACATGAAATGCTGTTTGCAACCCAATTTATCTACATCTGAGTGAAAGAGGATAGTCAATGAGAAAATCACATGATGGGACTTGATTTTATCCACTGGGAACTGATTAGACTGTGAAAAATTGGTGTTTCTTACCAATAGAGCCATTTTTTCAAATTGTGTGCAAGGAATAATTGTTCAAAATCAGTAACACAAATCATGTATAAAAGTGAGTAAATCTTGAATTTTCTTTCTTAATTCAGAAATGGATGCAATATTCTCACGTTTTTTTTATATGCTGCCTGACAATATAGTGTATTTTTTCTCAACTTTTTTATTATTTAGCTTTATCATAGTAATTTTTTGCTTTCAAAAGAGATAAATAGAAATGAATCATTGAATATACTTTAAGAAGGTTTTTATAATATAATACATTATTATGATGCTACATGTGTGAAAATAGGGACCAATGACTTCGAATCACATTTACGTGTTTATGCATCTCTAATGAGCCTCTATAACAGGGGTGCCCAAACTCGGTCCTGGAGGGCCGGTGTCCTGCAGAGTTTAGCTCCAACTTGCCTCAACACACCTGCCGGGAAGTTCCTAGTATGCCTAGTAAGAGCTTGATTAGCTGGTTCAGGTGTGTTTAATTGGGGTTGGAGCTAAACTCTGCAGGACACCGGCCCTCCAGGACCGAGTTCGGACACCCCTGCTCTATAACGTGTTGATTGCATCAGAAAAATAACCACTACACAATGCACTGAAGTGAAAAATATGAACATTATTTAATAACTGATTCTCTGTAATAAACAATTTGAAAATATTTTACAAGGAGTCACAGACACAGTATTTTACAAATTTTCTTTTTTTTGTTGTCTGTACAAAAAAATGGAGCAACATGAACCCAGAGACGAGGCACTGAGCCCCCAACACACAATCCAATAAACGAACGAAAGAAAAATGCTCACCATGATTTCAGACCTCAACTCATGAGTATTATCAGCAGTACTGTTTCTATTTTTTTAAAATCGTTAATACATTTTAAAACCTCACTCATGTTAAATTCAGTTTTTCCTTTGTATGTTTTTTTTAAATATATATTTTGTTGTACACATTTGTCACGGAGCACCAGACTAAAGACTACGTAATCACATACACACGTCTCACTGATGGAAACGCGCCTACAATGATGTTGCTTTGGAGGGGGAGGGGCTAGGGGGAGGGTCTGAGCTAATGACTCCTCCCTGTGGGCAGGGTTATACATCAGGCCCCTCCCCTTGCGCAAGCTGCTTCCTCTTTTTAGCTTTTCTTTTTGAATACTATTTTTTTCTCTTTTTTTTTTTGGCAAAAACAAATCTTTCAGACCACTTAAAAACAAGGACTTTTGTTCCACAGTGCACTTGGAATTGTGACACAAGACCGACACATTCATGATCATTTAATCGCAGTGTCTTGCCAAAATGCGTTTCCCTAATTAGGGCAGTTCAGTGCCCCTGTACATCGACAGTGTTCCAGTTTTAAGACAATTACACACTTTTCCCCCAAGAATAAAATACAAGAATAATAAAAAAAAAAAAGTATGGCAAAGTTTTAAAACAACTCACCAGAGTTGGCATATTTCCACTTTTCGGAGCGCTCTTTGCCCTGATATGAAATAAAATTGCAGATTGTTTCCATAATCAGGCAAAGAAAGAGGTACACATTAGCCATATAACATGTTTCAACATTAAAATTGTGAGATAGAGGGATAGTTCACCCAGAAATTAAGATTATGTCATCATTTACTCGCTCTCATGTCATTACGAACCATTTTTTTATGAATAACTTAAATTCTTCTCAGTGATTTATATAGTTCACAAGACATATGGACAAGCTTTATGATATTTTTATTGAGCATTTATGTCCTTTTAAGAGCTTGAAAGCCCCCGGTTGCTATATTTTTTATGGTTTATATGAAAACACTTATATTTGCCTATTATTGGGTTTGGAAAAACTTGAGGGTAAGTAAATGATATTTTATTTTTGGGTGACCTATCCCCTTAAACTTCGCACATCATACTGAAGCTTAAACAGTCTTTTTAAAACTTGTTTTTTTGTTTGTTTTTTGTCTTATTACAGTACCACATATGACCTTGCACTTATATTTCAGAAATTGGGTTTTTCCATTTCTATGTCTCAGTGGGGTCTAAAATATATATTCATACTGTAGATGGATTCTGGGTTATAAACAGGAGTCATATGTGATAGTGTCAGGATGAGTGAGGATTGCATTCAAGTTCAAATATTAGTGATATGTACAGTCCACTGAATGAAGCTTAACATATATATTTTAATTTTCTCTATAACCAATTAGTTCTGAAGGTCGATGACAAACAAACCGAGTGGCGTAAGATTCGTGTCCACTAGCATCACACATGCATTTTCACCTCTCAAATAAGGCGAGTATAAAATACATGACATCCTGACAGAAAATAAATAATAGTTCACCCAAAATGAATTCTCATTTACTCTACCCTTGTGTCGTATGAGTTTCTTTCATTCATAAAACAAATGGAGATGTCCTTTCCATACATATGTTTCCTACAGATGAAAGAATGTCATACAGGTCTGGAATGACATGAGGGTGAATAAATGATACATTTCGGGTGAACTAACTCTTTAAACAGACAGACAGAGGGAATGTTTAACATGTTAAGTGCTGTCTTTTAAAACTACACAGGCGACTAAAACAGGCTTTAATAGATTTTGCCTCGAGACAGACAGATATGTAACATTCGTTTGACACAGATCATTCCTTCAACACCAACAACTGACAATACTCTCAAAATACTTCTCTTAAGATCATCTATTTTCACAGTTATTTCACAATAACGGCAAACACAGATTCAACTCCTCAACCATCAGCAAACCTCAAATAAACTCTCGCTCTATTTACCGGACAAATAAACTACACCAGTAAAGCCATTCCCTTATTGTGAAGCCAGAGATGGACTGAGGTTATGTAGAGCAGTCAGTTCAAACCCAACACCTACTTTACCAAAACTCAGTAGCAACTAGGATTGAATGCGTTAGAAGCTCTTACAAAGACAATCCTAAAAACGAGGGGCCATTTTTAAAAAGTCTTGCCAGGGAGCTTTAAAGGAGCACTGAAGGTGATGGTGACTAAAATGCCAAACGTGCAACTGAGAATCAGTCAGAGAGGTTCAGATTTAGCTCCGTTTGTTGACAAAATAAATGCATAAGGTGCTTATCATAACTGAAGTTTATGGCAAACACTGCGGCTCAATAATACTCTGCATTTAAAAAATAAATTGCATTCCCTTATATCAGTCAGGTGACGATGTTTGGAGGCACTGGCTGCGTTCAGAATAGCATACTAACCATACTGTATGCACATTGCACATAGTATGCAGGTTTTCCAGAAGTATAGAATACTTGATGAGCAACTACATTTGTCATAATATGCATTACAATACATGCAATACTGAATACAGTATCCCACAATACAATGCACTCAACTTAACCTGCCATTTCCAATGTGATGAATGACCGGAAGCAATATCAACTGTGATTATCTCAACTATTTCACTCTTGACTTGATTATTTGACCAGACATTTTTAAACAAACTTTGGTAAAATAAAAAGTTTTCTTAATTGGCCGAGGCTAAACATTGTAAATAATGTATTGATGTGACCAGAACAAAGCATAAAAATGTTCATTAGTGAATATTAATGAGTATTATTTTTTTTTTAAATAGTATGAAGAATATAGTATGCAGTATGATAGTATTCTATGTCGAACACAACCTGTGAGTTTTAAGGCCCATGAAAGACTTTTACTGCACTAAACTGACTGATAGTGAAGCTGTCCAATATAAAAGTGCATCAAGGCACAGCTAAAACAAGGTCGATGCAGGGCCCAAAACAAGGGATTTTGCTTAAGTTTCATCGCATTATTAACATTTCAACATAAGATATAATGTCATGACTGATACCGAGGCTTGAAACATACTCAAGTATGCAAGCAGATGCAAATGCTTGAATTGCATCAATGCATTATCGAACATTTAATCCAGCCTACATATCTACAGTAGATATGTTTTGGCCCTTATGTATATATGAAAAATAAAACTTTCTCTTCTACATGAATGATCATATTGACTAGGATCATGGTTACTATTACTATTAACAGACAAGTCCATCAGTGCAAATAATGGCGCAAACAAACAGCATGTGTTGTGATGTGATCAGAAGCAATATATGATTGACATTCTGAGATTGTGAAAAACTGTACAGCACAGAATTACAGAGACTGCAAACAGATATCATCGCTAAAAACACTCAAACTGCATTTCAATCCATCAAAAATCTCTTCATTATCCCATCTCATCTTATTTAAAGGAACAGTTCACCTAAATATGTTCCATTCAATAACACTTCACAGTGACCCCTCATGCTCCAAAAGAGAAATAAAAGTGGTCCATATGATTTATATGCGATATTCCAAGTCTTCCGAAGCTATACAATAGCTTTTGGTGTATTCATTACACTAAACTATCATATGACGTTAGAAAACCTAATACAGACTGCTTTTGTGGGACTTTTATGGAACTTCTTTTTTTTTTGAGCTGGAAATCATGGTCACTAACTTGATCCTTAAAAAAAAAATTCTCATTTGGTGAAAAACTAACAGCATATGGGTTTGGAATAAATAAATGAATGATAAATTACACAAAATTGTCATTTTTAGGTGTACTAGTCCTTTAAAAATGCACACATGCTATTACATATTAGCTGCAAATATTATATTACTGAGGCATTAATATAGTTTACCTTGTGATAAAAATAATAAACACAAATAAAAATCCTAACCTAATCGGATCAGGGTTGTGATATCAATATAAATAATAAATCTATGAAGCCCTTGTGACTGATGAAGGAATGGTGTGATACCTCTTTAATTTCTCTACTTTCTTTTTCTGTGGTTTTCTTACCTCCTAATTTGGCTAGAAAAATTAGACCACACAACAAGTCTCATTTTGGCAAGAAGTAGATATAGTGCATAAATAAACAAAAGATAATTGAATAAATATCATCTATTGTCTTCTCTTTCTCGTTAAATACCCTAATATATGGAGGCATGTTTTTAATACTCACATGTTGTTATTGATATTTTTTGGGAATCGCTTAAAGTTCTGCTCTTATTCGGTTATTTTCTTATTACCGGAAGCTAGACGGCGTCAGAACGCCCCGTAGCCTCGCGACACGGGTTACAAGATGAAGATGAGGATGATGAGGATGACCTTTCCCCTTTAGAGGTGGAGTCAAACGAAACCCGACCCCCTTTCGGCCGCAAGGGCAGGAGGGAACAGTCCGTGTCAGTTTCCACCATTTCTTCGTTGGTCCAAGATGGCCGTCGGTGTTCACATCGCTAGCTTCCTGTTTTCGTAAAGACACTTTAAGCTCCTCCCACAAATGCTCTTGATTGGCAGGAGACGACAAAGTTCTGCAACGGTCACTAAGCAACAACCTGTGAAGCTAAGTGGATGAAGCAGTACGACTGGGCTTCGGTATAAGGGCAGGAGGAAGTCCCTTTATATTACCTATGACTAGAGCAACGGGGAGATAAAGGAGAAATTAAGGAGACGAGAAGGAGGGAGAGGAGGACAGGAGGATGGAGTTAAACAGAGGGGCGGGCCAGAACAATCAGGAGGAGGAGCTGGAGGAGGAGTAAAGTGAGGAGGGAGGGGCGGAATGAGTGACCCCGCCCACAGTCTGATGTGTTCTCCTGTAAGGAAGACAGAGAAACGTGCGCTTTGGTTTATTAATGCACTATTAATGTTCTGATGGGTTTAAATGCAGAATTGTGAAACTCGTATTTGTTTAGGCACTTATTCTAAGTCTAATTATTCTTCAGTCAAAAATATACGTCATGGTTATGCATTACTGATGTTATTCTTGTGGGCGGAGTTTACAGAGCTCATTATGCCATCCATAGACATTCAATTGTAAATATTCCGGAATATTTTTTTGAATAAACAAGTGGAAATGTGCATGTGTACTTACTAAAACACTGTAGTCGAAACAGCTCGTGGTTCCTTTTCTATACCGGGCTGTGGCTATTGTCTCGCATGTATTTGTTTCTTTATCTGAGAAACAGAGGGCATTAAGGAACATCTTTTTAGCAAATTTGGGGTTAGTACGTTTTTTATGTCTTATATGTGTGTTCAGGAAGAAGGCATTACTTTGATCGAAAGTGACAGTAAAGACATTTATATTGTTACAGAATGTTCCTATTGCAAATAAACACTGTTCTTTTGAACTTTCTATTCATCAATAAATCCTAAAAAAAAACAATTTATCACAGTTTATACAAAAATATGAAGCAGCACAACTGTTTTAAGCACTGATAAAAAGAAATGTTGCTTGAGCATCAAATCAGCATATTAGAATGATTTCTGAAGATCATGTGAGACTGAAGACTGGAGTAATGATGCTGAAAATTCAGCTTTGATCACAGGAATAAATTACATTTTAACATATATTACAATAGAAAACAGTTATTATATTAGTACACATTTAAGTTGTTTTGTATTTTTGATCAAATAAATGCATCCACCCCCAAACTTTTGAACAGCAGTGTACATTGCATCAACCAATGCAAGAAATGCATGTTTATGGCAAAGGATACATTCTGTCTCCACCTGAGACAGTTTCTCTATTTCACAGGAGTCGCAGGACAGTTTTTCAGCCACCACAAACAGCAGGTTGGTGTTGTTTATTCTCCTAGCATGAATTAACCTGTAAAACAGACACATTATTATTAAAAACAACCTGTAGTCTGTATATATGTGATGTATACTGCCTGCATGACTGCCGTGGGTCTGACCTGGAGCAGTTGTCACAGTCCTGCAGTATGTTGTAGGAGCTGCTGATGTTACTGAAGTAAAACTGTGTCTGTACCGTCACACAGCTGGTCTCTCTAGACTCCAGTCCTTCAGCATCCACCTCATCTGTATTCACACACACACACACACACACACACACACACGTTAGATTAGTCTTCTTATTGATTTACTTAAACAATGACCTTTTAAAATCGAAGTAAACCTCACACACCTGTCATGAACCAGCTCTGATAGGCAAAACCATACAGCATCTGTTGCAGCAGTGACCTATAGAGGACAACACACACACACACACACACAATCCTGAGTGTGAGCACATGATGTCTGCACATGTTTAAAAGCTACTACATCATTGAGCTCAGTCATTATAATTGACTCACCAGGCAGCTGCTGACGTCCACCAGGCAACATTTAACACATCAGCAATAGTAGGCTGAGAGGAAACACATGACAATGATCATGCCACAGTTCATCATCCGTCCAAATACACACCTACCCCATACACACATCTCTTTATCATCTTTCCATTTATTCATCCCTCAATCCAATTCAGTCAGTTATTTTAGTATTATTTATATACTATTATAGTAATTATTAATATTTTGAATGACCTTTTATTATAAAAAATAATTATTACTATTATTAATTTTAGTTAAAGTAATTTCATTGTGCGTTTTGTCATTTTAATTAGTTTTTTTTTAGTTCTATTTAGTTTCAATTTTTTTTATTTCAGTTTCAATTTGAGTAATTTTAACTTATTTTACTTCAGTTAATCGCTCATCCAGAATTTTCAGTTTAAGTTTGTCTTTCCAAATATATATTTCAGCTTTATTTTATAATGAAAATGACTTTTAATAGTTGTAATTTTACTTAACAATAACACAGCATTGTGTAAACCAATCCAATTGCAGATTTCGAATGTATTGTTTATATGCAATGATTCAAATATTAATTGCATGTGCATTATATCCATCACAAGCAAAACATAAGTGCATGCACATGCACAGTGCATAAGAATAGCTGATATCCAAAATATGCTGGAAAAGCGTTTTAGCAAAGTAAAGACATTTAGATTTACATATTGACGTATTGCGTTTCCTTTAATTAATTCCCTATATTTTCTTTACTTGGTCTTAAAAAGTTCTTAAATATAGCTTCAGAAACCCTGGCACTGCACATGTGCGAAAAGTGTTTATGAATTCAATTACAATAGTAGTCAGGGTTAAAAGTTTACATAGCTAATATTTTCATATTTAACGTATCGTTTAAAATCAATACCAGCCCTTTCAATCAGATTTCATTTGGATTTATTGAGGTGTCCGATTGAGATTCAAATCGTATTATTAGGATGCATGTAAGCGTAGGCATTACTCGTACCACAAACACTCCTCGCGGGGCGGCCCCTGTGTTGCTGCTGGGCACCGGGTCACACACCGACTGATAGTCGTAAGACTGCTGGCGTTTGTAGAAGGAGTTGTTATAGAGGGCGTAAAAGAGGGTGGCATCGACCTCGCCGAAGAACATCCCGATCTACAGACAGAAGAGGAAGAGCACAGAGTGAAAAACAGTAGCAAAAACAGTGTTTTCACATCACTGTTTTCCTGTTGAACGTCCTGACCTTATTCAAGTAGTCTTTCTGATTGGACATGACGAGGAAGCCGCCGTCATCTATCAGATAGCAAAGCAAGTCCTGCGAAGAAAGACGGATGGCTTTAAGTAAACACATCATGTCATTAATCAGTCATTTTAATGGAAAATCACTAGATCAATCGACAAACCCTGAAAAGAGGTATGGATGTGAATGTATGGATGTGTGCTATAGATCTCAGTATTGACTGATCTGAGTGCATTAAGAGTCTCTTACATCACTGTTGGCTTCACAGTCCATTTCACAGCCACTGGTGGGTCCACACTGTCAGACAGAAGCAACAGTATTAGAGCAGCTTGTGTATAGGCATACATATATAGAAGAGTGTGTGTATTTTACCGTTTGAGAGCTCTGTCGGTTGCTGTTGGTGTGGTTGCTCGCCAGGATCTTGAATTTGTCTGTCCATGCCTCAAGATCAAGCTTCACACCCAGAACTAAGAGAATGCAAGACAGAAACAGAATGAGAAAGAGAAACCCTAAAACCTTTATGGTCTTTACCATTTCAGCATTTTCCACCTATCTTACAATTACAATGCTTTTGCAGCTGTTCCCTTTACATAAAAAATAACTGATAATGTGAAATATTATTACAATTTAAAATAGTTTTCTGTTTTGATATACTTTAAAATATAATTTATATCTGTGATGCAAAGCTGATTTACTCCAATCTCCAGTGCCACATGATCCTTCAGAAATCATTCTAATATGATGATTTATTATCAATGTTGGAAACAATTTAGCTGCTTAATATTTTTTTTTTGGAACCAAGGATTTCAGGATTCTTTGATTAATAAAAAGTTCAAAAGAACAACAGTTATTCAAAATAGAAATCTTTTATCAACAAATACAATAATAAAAAGATGAATAAAACAGTGTATAACATACATACTTATGCCATACAGCGCAAAGCATTTCTGATTTGTTTAATTTTCAACCTAATCTGTGTTGTCATCTACATAAGTTACATCAACATAATTCAGGTTGACTTTTCAACAATGTTCAGAGCAGAATATGTCATTCTTCTAAAGCCAGATGCACAAAGCAGCACTTATCTCTGCTAATCCTCATGTCAGGTAATCCTAACGTAACGGGATGATCATGAGCTCAGTGAGGAAGCACAGCATATCACTGTCGATTTGTAGAGGTTTAAGTCAAATATGGCTAAATGTCTCTGGATTTATTGTATTGAGAGAGCTCATGTATTCAAACACAGCTGCTGACCGTCTATTAGTTATGATGAAGTTCTTAACATATTGATTTATCATCTCAAATCCCACATTTGACATTTGACAGAGAGGCAGACATTTGCACGAGTCACATACGGTGAACGTGAAGTTGCGTTTTACCTGCAGGTTTCAGGTTTTTGTTTCCTATGGTCACCTCCACTGCAGTGCTAACCAGAATGCCGATGGTGTCGTTCTCTGGATTCAGTATGGATTCATCATTGGCTGGACAACAAAACAAAACAAAAAAAAGCAGCTCTTGAAAACTATTAAACCATAAACTGAATATTATATAAATGATACTGTAATTCCTAAAATGATTCTAATTGGATGAGCTGAGTTTGGTAAATTAATCAAAGAATGGAAGAGTAGTGTATTCTGCTAATTAATTATATTCCGATTATATATTTTATTATATATAAAAAATAATTAATAAAATATAATGTAAAGTAAAGCATATATTAATATTCAAATA